AAGGGGGGTGGGGGGTGCGGGGTAACAAAATTGTTGGTAGGTGGGAGTGGGGGGGGGGAGCATTTACGGCGGAGGGCACACAACGGGTACCGGTTGGGCGGATCATGTGCGGACCCAGGTGGCAGACATGAGCTCCGGCAGCTCGGCAGGGAGCGGCATGTAGTGGTAGGAGACGAGGGTGGTGGCGACAAAGTGAGCGACGGTGGTGGCAAGGAGCTCCGGATCAGCGTCGGGGTAGCGGTCGCGGAGCGCAGCGGTGATGGCCGACTGCTCGCGGCGGGTCACGTCGCCCCAGGCCGTGAGATTGGGTGTGTGCGGGGTGGTGCCGGCGACAACGCCCTCGATCCGGCGCGAGAGCCACGCGCTGGCAAGGAGCTCGGCCACTCGGTCGGCGCTCAACTCGGGTCGGGTCGACAGCCGCGCAAAGTCGTCTACAGACGCCGGCGTGGCGGCCAGATCCGCAAACCGCCGCCGCGAAAGCCGCCGCCGGCGCTTGCGTGGCGGCGGGCTCGTCGTTGTTGTAGCTATTGCTGTTGTTGGCGGTGGCGTTGACGTCGATGCGGCGGGTGTCGATGGTGGCGCGGGTGAGGGCAACGGCAAGGGGGATGAGGAGGAGGAAGATGACGACGACGACGATGAGGACGATGAGGACGATGACGATGAGGAGGCCGAGGAGGAGGAGGAGGAGGAAGAGGAGGAGGAGGAGGAGGACGCGGGTGGCAACGGGAGGGCGGGCGCGGGCGCGGATGCGGGCGAGGACTTGCGCTTGCGCTTGCGCTTGCGCTTGCGGCCAGAGGTGGGTGTGGGGTCGGTGGCGGCGACGGTGGAAGCGACGGCGGCGGCGGGCTCAACAAGGGTGGGCGGGACGGTGACGGGGATGAGGTGGAGGAGAAAGTGGACGTCAGAGACCAGGGCCAGGCCAACGTCCTTGGGCCCACCTGGTGCGATAAAGAGCAGTGCGTGCGGCGCGTCGGGTGGGAGCGGATCGGCCGGCGGCGGGAGCGGCTTGTTGGCCGCAGGCAACGGCGACGGCGACGGCAACGGCGACGGCGACGGCAACGGCGACGGCGGGAGCGGAGTGGCCGGCGGCGGCGACGACGGGTCAGACGACGAGCGATGGAGGGTGGCAAACGGATCGAGGAGGCGAGCGGTGCGACGGCGCGGGCGGAGGATCGGCGGCGACGCTCGATCGGACGAGCTCGCCGAGCCCGAGTCCGAGCTCGAGCTCGAGCCCGAGCTTGCCGACGACTCGTAGCTGCTGGAGCCCGAGCCGGGCATGTACTCAGAAGCCGAGTCTGAGGCTGACGAGACCGAGGTCGAGACTGAGCAAGCGGGCTCGGCGGGCTCGACGGGCTCGACGGGCTCGACGGGCTCGGGAGCAGGCTCAACAAGCGTGGCGATGTTCGGGATGGTGTTGTTGAGGTAGGCGTTGGCGATGCGGGTGAGAACGCGCGGCGGGATGTCCGCCTTGGGGCCCTTGCGGAGGATGTATGCCCAGGCAGCGAGGGTACGCGCCTCTGTCCTCGGCGCGACACGGGCCTCGATCTGCTTGGCGGAGTAGTCGGCCAGAGCGACCTCGATGGCACCAGCGGAGGCATCGGCCAGCGAGAGCGAGCCTGCCCTTGCACTCCCATCCTCTACCACCACCGCCACCGTCATCTCGTCCACCGGCACCATCCCCACGCCCTGCAGCGCCAGCACCTTGCTCTCTTGCCCCGATCCGCCCTCCTCCCGCCCGCCATCATCACCAGCAGCGACATGGCCATGGCCAGCACCATGGCCATCATCATTGGTCTTTGTGGACGGTATGTCCTCGGCCTTGTCCTCGGCCTTGTCCTTGGTCTTGTCCTTGGTCTTGTCCTTGGTCTTGTCCTTGGGATCGGTCCGGGCATGGGCATGAGTCTCGGCCATTATGGACAAAGTGCGCCAAGAGTGCGGGAACCATTCATTAAGGTTGCTCCAAGCAAGCGAGCCATCCCTCCACGGCGGCGAGGTAGACGAGGGAGGAGACATATGCGAGGAATGTGACGGACGGGTAGAGGCAGAGGAAGTGTGTGTGGAGGGGGAGGAGCGGGGTCTGGTGGCGGTGGTGGTGGTGGTCGGTATGCCCGTACTCGGTGTGGCACTCGTCGGCATGATGTGGGCACTCAGGCCGCCAAAGTGGAGGCCAGCCAGAGGCATGGGCGGGGGGA